TGAAAAGGAACATAATTCCAGGGTAACAGGATTTAAGGACACTGAAAGTTCTAATCCCCACAAAGCAACCAAACTCAATCCAAGATAAAGCATGGGAGAGAGGCTGTTTGTCTCTCCAGGCTGGAGGTCGGGGGAACAAAGAGGGGAAATCAAGGAGGTGAAGGCTGGGGAGAGATGCTGCTTTCTTATTTTAAACAGAGATGCCACGATTCTTGCGGGGTGGGTGGGTGGGGGTTGGGCATCTAATTAAGGGCCAAGCTTGTTCTTTGAGACTGTTTAATGACAACCTCTTGCGGTGACAGCTCAATTAATCAGAGGCTCAGAGCTCCTCTTGTCCCAAGCTTGCCTAGATGGACCTGGATGGACAAGAGTTTCATATTTGAGACCCTAACTTCAAAACAAAATTTTTTTTTTGGTACCGGGGATCGAACTCGAGACCAAGCTTGTTCTTTGAGACTGTTTAATGACAACCTCTTGCGGTGACAGCTCAATTAATCAGAGGCTCAGAGCTCCTCTTGTCCCAAGCTTGCCTAGATGGACCTGGATGGACAAGAGTTTCATATTTGAGACCCTAACTTCAAAACAAAATTTTTTTTTTGGTACCGGGGATCGAACTCGAGTCCCTGGGCTTGTGAGGCAGGCAGCAGCACCACTGAGCTAAATCCCCAGCGCCTCAAAACAATTCTTTTATTAGTTCATGTTTGCAGTACATAATCACTGCCATTTATCGTAGAGAGTGTGTACATGTACATAACATGTCTTAATGCTTTTTTTGTCCCTTTTCCTTTCCATCCCTCCCCGTTCCCTCCAACTCTTATTCCCCTTCAAATTTGCAAAAGCTCTATTTCCATTTTTTTCTTCAATTCTCTCATTTAAAAAAAATTCCTTTTCCTTTCAGTCCCTCCCCTTGCTCTTGTTCCCCTTCCCATTGAGACCCTAACTTTTCAGAATAAGAAGCAAATTCATTGTCTCTTAGAGTGTTGGAGTCAGAGGGATAAAATACTGAAAAGAGATTGAGACTCTTGAAGAGTAGATTCTGATGGCCCTATTCAATAACCACCCAATGAAAAACCAATTAGTGCTAAATATGTTAAACTAAAAGTAGTTAGTTTAAAAAACAAGGGTGCTATGATGCTGATTCCTGCTTAGCTTGCTGTATACTTATACACCATGACTCCTTGATCATTTTAAACATTTCAAATATTTGATAAAATCAGCTCTTTTTATGATCCATCTTTCTTTTCATAGGTAGAGTCAACAGGGCGAAAAATGGCAAAACAATGAAAAAAAATCCTCGGGAAACAAAACAAAATAAAAAACAAGCAAACAAAACAAATTTAGGCCAGCACATCCTTAATTCCAAGTTAGCCTGACTGCATTTTTTTCATGCATTATTTTTAAGTCTTTTCCTTACAGATACTCAAAAAACCAAAAACACCAAACGGTTGCAATCAAATCCATATATCTTTTTGATTTGCACTTTCAAATGTCAATTTAGTGGTTCTCAGCTGGGGATGATTTTGCTCCCCAGGGGGCATTTAGCTAGGTCTGGAAACATTTTAGTTGTCACCAGAGGGAGGGGTGCTCCCGGCATGACTGTCAGCTGCTCAGCTCCTACGAGTATGCAGAGGAGTCCCTAGAAAAAAATGTCCCCCCAGTTCAATGTCCAGTTCAAAATATCAGCAAGCTTAAGAAACCCTGTGCTGAACTATGAGGGTTAAATCACAATTTCTAGTGTGGACAATCATCATTTTTTAATGCCTGAATTAACCCTCCATGTCATAATTATGTCATAATTTCTCTGATGTTAAATGCCTAGGTTATTTCCAGTTTTCTGGCTAATGGATAATGTTGCTATGGACACCTTCACTCGTATTTTTTTCTGCTGAATTATTTCCTTCAGATAAATTTCTAGAAGTCAGAAATACTGAATCAATGGGTATGAATACTTCTTCACATTTCATGGGTGGCATTGCCATTTTGTTTTACAAAAGAATTGCAAATTCCAATCCCCATGAGTAAGAAAAAGTATCCAGCATTACCAAAGCCTCAGCAGCACTGGATGTTAACATTACAAAATGTGTAAAGAGGCACAAATCTCAAATATGAAATGGTACGTGCAGTTTGCCTCAATATGCATTTAGGTTGCTCTTAAGGATGAATATTTTCCCAAACTTTCTATTCCTATTATTTTTAGAAATATGACTTGTCTTTTGCTTATTTTTTCTGACTGTCAATGTTCTTTTAAAATTAAATGTAATTTTACTGAGTAGAGACAGTAATGTAAAGTTAATGAAATTATTTTACTTTTCTCTTGTCATGTTAGTATTTCCCTCTGGAAGTTTAATTTACAATTTTAATATTCTCTTTAGGTACTGGTCACTCTGCCCAATCCGCAGCCTCTCCACAGAGGCCCTGGGGAAGAAGAAATCTCCCTGGCGTTTGATGTCAGCGACCCCAGAAGGACAAGCGGTGCCGGACTCTGAGGGGTCCCGGGAACTAATCTCCCTTAATGAAACGAAGGCCTGCGGAGCGCCCCGGGCGGGAAGGGAAGAGTTTGGAGGAGAGGACCAAACTGCGAGCAGCTGGGCAGATCTGCATTAAAGAAAGGGCGCCGTCCCTTTAGGATTTCAGAACTGGCAAAGCTCCCTCCATATGCAGCTATTAATATGCAAAAAATGCCTTCATAAATACTTGATTCTGTTCACAGTGGGGAGGCCGTGCATTTGAAAGCGGAAATAGGAGCTTGGAGTTGAGACACGTCTGCTTGTCTCCTCTTTTTTCGTTGCTTTTTTCCACTTCTCTCCTTGCAGTTTTCTTCCCTCTTTCCCCGACCTAACCCCTCTTCCGGACCCTAGGAGGTTGCTAGGGCAGTTACGAGGTCTCCCCACCAGGCTACTCCTTGGGCCCCAGCCGAGGCTGCGCTGCCTCCTTCGTCCTCACCCATCAAGGCTGGACCCACACCCTTCCTGAACCCGGGCGCCCAGAGCAAATTTCCAGTCCCACCAGCAGGGGGCGCCCCGAGGCAGCCCGCAGGGCCGGGGGTCCTGACCCGCCTGTGACCGCTGTCTCGTTCCCTCTGCCTGCAGGGCGGGAATCAACTCCCAGTCTAGTTCTGTGACTAGACTAGTTCTATATGGTGGCGATACCAAAATATTCCACTTTTGGGGACCTCCCCATCTAGCACTGTGAGTAGAACAGTAGAAGTATCCTGTGTCCCTGAGCTACCCCAGGGAAAGGACAGGAGGGACAGGAGTCAATGGGGCATTAGTGGAAAGAAAGGGGCGGCTCTGCTTCTACTGTTTAGGTTCAGTTCTGTGTGACATACTCGTTCCAGAGGAGGAAGACCGCAGCTCTGCCAGTGGCCTATCAAGGTAGGTAACTGGAGTCTGTGGGGCTGAAATTTGTTCCTAAATCCTTTCCAGATGCTTTATAGTAAACATGAAATTAGTCATTTGCATGGAGGAGGCCGAGGAAATAGTTAAAGTGAAGTCAGTGATTAATCTAATAGAAGGCACAGGCTCGAGGAGGGCGGCAAGTACTCCCCCTTCCCCGGCCTATCTTCCGGGAGTTTGGGGCCACGGGGCCTCCCAGACCTTTCCTGGGCTGGCTTCTCTTTCCTTCAAAGGAATGGAGGACACCCTGACTTTTAACAGACCAACTGCTCTGGCAGGAGCCACCCCCTCATTTTACAAATGGGCCCCAGGTAGATGGACTTGCCACGGCCTGCAGGGGAACCAGGATCAGAGTTAAGGCTCCAGATCTGGTGTGCTTCTCTCTAACTGCCAAATTCATATTCACTCCAGGACTTTAATTCAACGTGGTGGAGCCACTCTGGTCTCCTGAGGTGTAGCAGTATGAATCCCTGAGGTGGGCTGTGTGAAGCCCAAGTGTTCAGGTTGTGAGAGGTATTTGCACGGCCTTGAGTTGGGGGATTATCAAAATATACCATTATAGCTTCTTTAGTTATACATTATCTTATTTAAAAAAAAGGTTCAAGATCCCTTATTATAATCAGTATCTCCAAAGCAGACATTAAAAACTGGGAAAGGTGTGCATGCCTATAATCCCAGCACTGGGGAGGCTTAGGCAGGGGGATCTCTGTGAGTTTGAGGCCAGCTTGGGCTACATAGTGTAGTTTGTGGCCAACCTGAACTACATAGTGAGTTCACATCAAAAAACAAAACTGCAGAAAGAAGTACACACTCAAAGAAACGTCACTGTGGTTCTATGGTCCCTCAGTAGCAAGAGGGTGGGGCAGCCAGCTCTTTGACATCAGGGGAGGCCTGAATCCATGCTTGGGGTTCTCAGTGAGGGTTCAATTCCTATCTCAGAGCGCCAGACAGGCGCACCAATGAAAGGAAACCCATTTTTATTATTATTTGTAGAGTTGTGGCAGAGGGAGATGTGGCCCAGAAAGCCAGGGCATGGCTGGAAGCTGGAGATAAGAGAGAAATGGAGATCGAGGCCCAGAGACTGTTGCACAGTAGGAAGAGCCCAAGGGTCCTCTGCAGCCATGTGTGCTGTCCCTGGCTCGGGTTCTGAGTCCCTGGTTCAGCCCCAGGAATCCTCCTGAGTGGGCTCTCAGCTGAGAATCTGAAGCTGGCCTCCGCCTTAAGTATCCACAGAGGGAACAAGCTTGTAAATATTCCTGCACATATGTCCTTAACCACTAATTGATATTCCTAGCCACCCGGAGGAATCCTTTCTTGTCTTCATGACTATCCTTGCATTTTTTTCCTTGATAGCTAATTTTTTGATCCTATTAGGAATGAAAATGTGTGCCTTCCTCCTCAGTGGGTGACACTGTTTGGTGTTTTCTTCTTCCTGTCTGACTTTGCAGAAGTCAGGGAGGAGCCAGCCAACATTGTCGGGCTGAGTTGAGACATTCTAAGTGAAGTGCTGGTCTGCCCACCTTGTGTTACTGAATAGACCACCGAGGCTGTCTCCCAGCAAGCCGAGAAAACAACCCAAGATTTGACACCCAATCAGTACTATACCTGCTTCCCTGTTGTTTGTGTCAAAGGTGAGCTTTCATAAAGTTTCATGTGAAGATCGGTCCCAGATTCAGTGTTAGCTGTGGTGAGAATCAGAAGGAAAAATCATCAAGGTTGTCAGAATTAACTCAGATGTGTGTAAGATTATATACACATTTACACTCACAGCATTCACACTCCCCAGATGACACCCATAAGTTCTTACAGGCACAGATTAAACACCAAGTTACATATAATGTGAAGACCTTATATTCAAATTTAGATTTTTTTTTTAGTACCAGGTATTTAACTCAGGACCTTGCACTTTCAAGACAGGCATAGTGCCACTGAGCTAAATCCCCAGCCCAAATTCAGGTTTTTCTTGTTTCAGTTGCTCTTTAAAAGAACAAAAGTAAATTCTTTGTTCTATTAAAATTCAGGTAAAACTGAAATTAAAAAGGAAATATTGATGGAAAAAAATCTTCTGATGCTGCTGAATATAAATTTTGTATGATCACACTCTGCTGAATAGAAAAATGCTTCCGCAAGCTTCCAGAAGGAGATCAGAGGCTTTCCTTTTCCTCATCACAGAAAAGGCACTACCTACAAGAGACAAGGGTGGGGCTTCAGGAGGAGCCTGTATGTGGCAGGTGCCGCACCGTGTGAGCCTGGTGTGGATGCACAGTCCCCGCGACACTCATGACTGGTGTTGCTCCCCAGGTGTAGGCACTAAGACTGAAAAAGTCACTCGCCCCTGGTTGTATAACTACTGAGATTTGGAGGAAGAGTTTGACCCAGGCTTCTCATACCTTAAAACTCCACAGTGCCAACAGATTTCTTTCTTTTTCTCCTCCCTGAAAAAATAACTGTAATGCTCATAAAGGAAAGCTTGAGGAAAGCATTTGGCTAAGCACATGGTTCTACTGACAAGGATTTTAGTCTCTTCTGTGGGACTGGTGTTGAACAAAAAGTTCCTCCTGTTCTTGGTACTCATAAGTGCTCTTTTAAAAAAGAGCCAACAGCCATCTGTGAATCTGGGTCTTTGTCTTTTTGACCCAAAGCCTGTACTCATCCTCTGTGGGCTGACCTTCCCTCTTCTGTGGTTTCTTAGCTGTCCTGTTTCTGTCCTGTTTGAAGAAGACTTCTGAATAGACTTAGGGCATTTCTTTTTAAAACTAGCTTAGGGGAAACTGAGGCCCAGACAGTGGTTTTATGCAGTTGGCTCAAGGCAGTGCCTGGAGATAGCACAAGAGCAGGAGCCAGGAGCAGATGTTCATGTTAATGTCCGTGCTTTTCCTCTGGGTCGTGCTGCCTCCTGTTAACCTCACTGAACTTGTCCCATCACAGCTGCCTGCTGTGAGCCACCCTCTGGATAGATCTAGCCCTGCAGAACTGTGTTGTGATGAGGTTCACTTCACTGTGGCTTGGAAAGAACCCTGGGTCTCTCAGAAATGAAGCTTATAAATTCTGATGCATGAAGGAAGTCCTTGCAATACCAGAGGAATGAATCAGTCAGCCAGAGTTCAAGAAATATAAACATATTTTCAGATAGGAGACTGAAAAATCGCTTAGGACTTCTCATCTTTTAGGTCAAGACCTTGGTAATTTACTGAGGTGCAAGCTGTCAAGCGGGGGAGACACAACTCCAATGGCATTCCTGGGACATAAAGCAACGGGGGTGGAAAAGCTCCCTCGGAACAATATGGAAGAGCTACCATTCCTATCAAGTCAAAGACACTGACTCATTGACAGTGGGATCTGGATGTGAACACAGCATCAGGCCCTCCTCCCTGCTTGGGAGCTGATGTGACCGTCACAGAATGCACTTTGTGACACTTCTAGGCATGCCCGAAGCTGGGACCTCACAGTCTTTCTGCCACTGAAGAGATAAACAGAAATGCATTCTTGCCTCAGCTGCCCACCATCAGGCCTAGCAGATTTTCAAACACCAGTATTAATCTCACCGCAGGCTTTTAGTAAGGCGATAGCACTGCCACCAGATAACCAGGCCACCTCGGAGGTGACCCTGCCAGAGGGGGTCTCATCCCAAACCTCTCCTGTCTTGTTCACATCCTGGAATCCTTCACCAAACACTCAAAACTTGAAAAGGAGGAAAGGGATTCTAGCACTGACTATGGCATCTTCAACTTTCCTTCTATTTCAATCTGTGTCAACGGTGTTTACTTTCCAAGTTGTTTTAAAGGAAAATGAATTATAGTCAGACTTATTCCCACTGTTGCAGAGTGGTTATTTCCCTAGATGTGGCAAGCTCTGGTAGGTTCTATCTGATATCAGAGTGGAAACTTCACTCCAGAGAAGTCACTATATCAGGCCAGCAGGGCCACCCAGCTCCTGTGTGTCAGGTCTTGATGAAGACATTGGCCCTGTCAGCTCTGAGGTGGCCAAGGATCCCATGGCTGCAGGACAGGACAGTGGCTGTTTGAAGTGCTAGCAGGAGCCTCTCTACATCTCTTTAGGACCTTTCTCCATGTACCATTTCTCAGGGACCCCTGGTGCTTCCTGGAACCTCCATAATGTGCCGTGACTTTAGCATCCAGGAGGAGATGTGTTCTCTGGACACAGAGCTCGGAAAGCACCTCTGTGGGCCCAGAGCATTGCTTGTGGACTTGCTGGCCCCAGACTGGAATGTGAGTCTTGGTACCTTCAGGATTTTGTGTTTTTTGGTCATAAATGGAAAATGCAAATATAAATTCCAGATTATTAAAAAAATTTCCCAGTATAAACCTAACTATAAAAGGAAGGATAATTCTGGTCTTGCTGGCCTCTCCTTAAGGAAATCTAAAAATACTTTATTTTATATGATGTGACTCAGGCTGCCTATGACCTATAGAGTGTGTGCAGTATTATAGTAAATTTTAATCTGCTTATTTAATGCAGGAGACTGAGACCTAAGGAGGCCTTTTGGTATTGTCGTTATCAAATTTTTGGGACAAGATTTAAGACTCTATTCATGTTACACATTTTCCCTTCAAGTCTTTCTGGATTAGGAGGTTGGTGAGAGAGGTGTAGCAGACAGTTATTGGAGACCTGAAGAGATCTCCAGGGAAAATGTGCCCCTGGGGGCTTCTGCTGAGGAGCCAGATGCACAGATCTAGAAAATCTGAGTCAATCTGAATTTAAATGTGGAAGGGCCTAGCAAAGGTGAAGGCAATATTTTCCTTCCAATCTGAAATAACAGCCCTTTTATTTACTTTTATCTTCTTAGACCAAGACTAGCTCGGTCTCAAGGGTCTGGCTTTAGTTTGGGGGATGCCAAGTTCTTGAAAAAGCTCGTAAATTATTTTTTATGAAGAAGTCCAAGGGCACATGGCAGTTTACCAAGCCCCAAACGGAAGCCAAGCTGGATGATGGAATTTAAATTTGAATTGTGCAGCAACAAAACATCAACTACATGAGAACCCTTCCTGTTAGCACACAGCACAGGATTTATAAGGAAACTTGTGTCAGAAGAGCATGGGAGGAAGGAATTAAAAATGAGCTGAAGGTGGATCTACTACGTACAAAGCAAGTAGCTAATTCAATTTAAGTGGAGGCCTCAATTTTCAAGAAAATGCTGTTCTTCGTCCCTGGTTCATAAACACCGTGGACATGGCCTCCCACTCTCTACTTGTCCCTAGGCCAATCCATTCTCTATGGAGGGAGGTGAGTTGTTCCTTTAAAGTAAAGCCTGGTTATGTCAGTGCCTACATAAGCATAACCCCACAGCCATTGGGGTAATTCCTGCCTACTTCCCCTGTGTTCCTCACACTCCTGCTGCACGTGACCTGGGGTGCTCATTACAGGTCATCTACATTTCTCCCCTGCTGCCCTGTCCTCTATCCTTTGTGGGGTCCCTTTCTTCAGGGCATCTCATCCTCCTCTGGCCAGTTCCTACACGTACCCTTAGAACTCTGGTCAAGGGTTGTCACTGTCCCAAAGCCTTTCTGACCTCCAGGTCAAGTTAGGAGTTGCTCATTCATCGTCCTCAACTATTCTATTCTACAAGGCACTGACTCTGTCTCTAAACTGTATTCTTGTGCCTACATACATTTGTTGCTAGTAAGCTAGGCGTGATGGTACATGCCCATAATTTCAGCACTCCGGAGGCTGAGGCAGGAGGATCACCACCTTGAGTTTGAGGCATCCTGGGCTACATAGTGAGTGCAAAGCCAGCTTGAATTATATAGCATGACCCTGTCTCAAATTTTTTTGTTGAAGTTCAGTGAATGAACAAATACACAAATAGGCAATCTCTTTGTGCTTTGTAAAAGAGACATTCTTTCTGTTGAACACATTCTGATGCTGATGGCTATGCTAATTTTCAAATGAGGAGTTGTGAGGAAATAGACAACAGAAAAATTCTTAGGCCACAAGAGAATATGTGAAAGAAGCAAGAGTGACAGAAACTAGCAAGGAAAAAAAGTGCTTAAGAAGAACTTCAAGCTACATTATGGCTGTTTTGGACGAGAAGATAACAATACTTGATGGGAAAAGACACAGAAAACAGTATTTCTAGATTACAAGTTAATGAAAATTGTAATTTTTTTTACCACTCCCCTAGAAGAAAAAATTAATATTTTAAATTGTATTGTAGGTTTACAAATATAGCCCTCTTTCTCACACAATTTAAATTTTTTTTTTTTTTTTTTAGTACCAGGGATCGAACTCAGGTCCTTGTGCTTGCAAGGCAGGCAGCAGCACCACTGAGCTACACCCCCACCCCTCTCACACAATTTTAAAATCCATACCAGCCTTAAAACATATTGTGCCAAATACACTGCAAGGCCCTTTCCTTTCACGAATATCATGTATCAAGTGGATAGTAGACTGCAGCTTTTGGGAGGACCTGTATTGAGAATTTTAGGGATCCTTAGGTTGTGAATACCCTAGTGTATATTGTGTCCCCAGTAAAACGGATGTAGTGCTGACAAATGAGGGAGCATTCTTCAGACTGTTATTAGTGAATATAAATGAAGGCTGATAGTGATTTATTAAACTATTTTTGAAGCCGGGCATGGAGGCACATGCCTATAATCTCAGCACTTGGGACTGAGGCAGGAGGATCATGAGTTCCAGTGTGGCCTGGGCTACGTAGCCAGTTCATGGCCAGCCTGGACTACATAACAAGTCCCTGTCTCGATAAGATAATCAAAGCAAACGAAACACTGTTTTCTTTTTTAGCAGCGCCTCATCAAATTTTTAGACCACTTCACTTTCTCTTGCTTTCATCACCAGTCCCAGAAACTGCCTTATTTTCAGGATAATTTAAAAAAATACGTGTATGTAGGGCCGGGGATTTAGCTCCGTGGCACCCACGCCTGCCTGGCAAGTGCAAGGTCCTGAGTTCGATCCCTGGTACTGCAAAAAAAAAAAAAAAAAAAAAA